TATTTCCAGGCTATTCGTGAGGGTGCCCAGGCTGTGGTTGCTGTTGGTGGTGATGGAACTCTGCATGAGGTGTGTCTCTATCCACTTCTTATAGGACTCTGGACCTATTATTATCTGCATGTGAATATGTTGAAAACTTTGGTAACTTGCCAAAGGAATCAACCTCCTTTAAACCTTCAAGACCCATGTCCCCTTTTATTGTAAAGGAGAAAATGCAGAAGAGCTTTGAGCATGTGCTAGATTTTGACCGCTTAAACCATGAGCACCTAATTGTCCAGAATGCTAAAGATTCATAATAAAATTGTAGTCTTAGAAGTTGATTGCCATTTTTGAAAAAGGTCACTAACTATAATTAATAAAACAGGTGTCCTGGATGCAGCATATACATTAGAACAACAAAGTTTTTATCGTTTTTTTTTCTTTCATTTATCAACACTATCTAAATGAGTGACCTTGTTTCTGTTTTTTACCTGAAAAAAGAAAATTGTTGTGTACCGTGTCCTGAAGATTTGTTTCAGTTAACTACTGTAATTTTTATGAGTCAAGTGATTCCTTGTGAGCTCTAGTATATAGCCCATTTCATGGTGTACGCAAGCAGTCGCTTACTACAATTTACATTTACTTGTTTTTTAAGACGTAATATTCTATTTGTTCTTTACTTTAATGTATCACCTTGCAGAAGACAGGGATACCTGCCCACAAAAATCTTATTATCAGTGTAGAAATTGTTGAAATCTCATGATGTGCAGGTTGTGAATGGTTTCTTCTGGGGTGGAGAGCCTGTAGCTAGCCATGATCCAAAGTCAAGTCATAAAACTGCTCTAGGTGTAAGTTATACATCAACATGCTTCAGAGTCAAATTTCAACATTTTGTGGTCTTTTAACCATGAATTTTCCAGTTCATATACTTGTATTGAATGTAACTTGTCTGCTCTAGATTTGTGAGATTAACTATTATCATTCTCTACAGCTTATTCCTTTAGGGACTGGATCTGATTTTGCCAGAACATATGGCTGGTCAGTTGGTGCTTCTTCCTAGCATATTGATTGGGTTTTACCGTATGCAGTTCTTTTTGAGATCCTTCAAACTAACCTGCTGCTGTACATTATTTTGCTGTTTGAACAGGAAAAATGATCCTCATGATGCCATTGAACGAATTGCCAAAGGTAAAACTTGCTAGAGAAAATATTTCTTTGATGTTCTAATTTTCATCTGGGCTGCCAGTATTCTGCTCTTCTCACTTTCTTTAGTGCCCGCCATTTAGCATCATTTAACTTCTCCAATTTCAATCTTCGCTCTTTCTCATATGACAAGTGTGTTCTTCAGGGCTCAGATCTCGGATTGATGTCGGAGTTATTAGTGGAGAAAGTGGGGATCCTCATTACTTTATAAATGAGGCTGATATTCATTTGTAAGGATGACTAATCATATGAACTGTTTAATATGAAAATCTCAGTGGTGATTCATTGATGCCCTGAATAATTTGCAGAAGTGCAAAGGCAGGTTATTATGCATCAAGATACAAGAAGTTTGGAAACTTGTGTTATGTTATTGGTGCTTTGCAAGCTTTCTTTAGGCACCAGAATAGGGATTTAAGGATCAAGGTTGGTATACTGTTGTATTTCCTTGCACAAGGAATCTGTTTATATGCCTTTCTTACTGTCAAATATCCATTGTACAATTCTTTCATTATTTTAGGTGTTTCCTTTTAAGAGTCTCCGTCTGTTTGTACTCGTTCAATTTGTTGATCTAGGTTGATGGAGGCGAATGGGAAGTATGTTCCCAGGTAACAGCCCTTTGTGTTGGAAATGCAAAATACTTTGGTGGTGGAATGAAGATTGCTCCAAATGCAGACCCATCCTCTGGGAATTTTGAGGTGTAGTGAACAAGTGATTTCATTTTTTGTTGGTACTTGATAACATATGAATTTACTATTGACAGCATAGAATTCCACTTTGACTTTCATCTGTAGGTGGTCATCCTTCAGGACTTCAGATGGCATGACTTCATTCTCAATCTGCATAAGCTGTATAACGGGACACACTTATCAGTGAAAAATGTATTTTCACGAAGGTTTGAATCTGCTCTTTGAAGAAAGTTGCTAATTGCTTTCGATGCTTGTGTAGGTATTCATTACATTTATGTAGTTTTTCTTAGTTACATACATGGCTGACAATAATTGGCAAGCTTGGAATATCAAACATGAAAATGGTCTGAGACAATCCTGTATAGCTGTATGGTCCACCTACTATCTAAACGGCTAGAAATGAGAAAGACACGATTAACCTTTTCCATTCTTTTGATAGCCAGTAGTTTGTTAAGCATAAGCTTCCAGTTCAGCAACCAACCAAGTGAATGTTTGTGTTTGAAATGCAATTGTTCTGGGCTATATCTGCTTTCCAACACATTGGCTGTTTGAACGTCAGTATATCTTGCTAGTGCTATAAGTGAGCAATATACTTATAGAATTGCTCTCTCGTGCAGTGTACAATCAATTGAAGTTGAGGAGATCATTCCAAGTGACAGCATTTATGTTCAGTCTGATGGGGAATATTTGGGGTTCCTTCCCAGGAAGTTTTGCATATTACCTGGTGCCATTGAAATGATATGCTAGTATGAAACTGAAGAGGAATTGTCATGCAGAGGCTTTTAATGTAAATATAGAATGATGCATTGACTCACTTTTGTGCAGGGAGTTTAACACTGACTAAGCGTACACACTACGGGCTTCTGCCTTGGGAGAGTAGATTGAAATTACGCTGTTTACTTCTAGGATTCAAGAAACAAGTAATCTTTATGCTGATGTAAATGGAGTGGTCGAATTGAATTGAAATGAAATGGACGGAACTTGTGAAAGGAAATTCTTTTGGTGTTTGCTAGTATTTTCCATCTTGATGTGATAGGCACTTGGAAACTTCAGAGGTCAGCTGTTAGGCCTGGGAGGGTTTGTAAAGATTTGTAAGGGGCTAATTATATCCTCGATTTCCAGCAGTATTATCAATTATTCACGTGCAGCATCAATCTGTATCCATATCCTGAAGTAATCTGCAATGTAACTATATTGCTAATGCTACAAAAACTACAAGTGGACTATTCGGCAAATGAACACTATAGTCGTTCACTGGGGCATTAGTTTTGGCGTTTGCCTCCATTCTTCCCATATATATGGGCATGCATCTGTTGAGAGCTTTTATTTACTCTGTAAAATCGCACTTTGTCAAATAATTGATGACATTTGTGTGCTATATAATACATAGTCAGAGCAGATATATCAGCTAACAGAAATAACTCTTAAAACTCAAATTTCAATGAACCATGAAGAAGACATGCTGCCAATCTGTTCCAAAACCTAAGTATGTGGTATTTAGTAATATCTTAATTGCATTCTTCTGTTTACCTTCAAATTCTACGCTTTTTAAGGCACATGTCAATAACTGCATTTTTAAGTTTGGGTTGCGAGGTGCCTTGCATTTTTGGGTTGATAGTATTTTCAAAGTTTACTGGGATTCTATGGGTTGATTCCTTGTTTATTGAGCACTTAAATTTACCCAGTTAAAAGACGCTCCAATTGTTTCCATCAAGAATCATTTTTTGGATGTCCTTTTCCATAAAGAATCTTTTAGGAACACATGAGCAAGAAACATGACCTTGCTTGGATTCCCTAGGGAGACTAGAGCATTTCTGCTCATTATATTCTCCAGTTCTCCTCTACCCTTTGCTCAGTTCTTGTTGTACGTGTCCTTTGGTTACAGAGCCCTTGAATTTGTGAAATTTCTAGATGGTCTACATCTTTTGAATTACTGGCAGCGACGGCACAATTCTCTTATGAACAGGAAAACAAAAATTCTAGTGGTCGATGATTACATTAATAGAGGAAAAAATTTAGGGATAATTTCAGATGCATTTCAAATCAATATAGATTAGGAATAATTTCATCCCCTACGATTAGCATTTCAGTAACAATATAGACCCAATATGTTAAATTTGTTCTAAAAAATCCCAAAATACTCTTTTGTTACTTCGAAAGGGGAAAAACTCACTAATAAATTTCTTATATATTGCAACTATTGTAAACAACATAACCACCATTGTAATGAACTCAACAAACCACATCAACTTAATCCCCATATTCTCATCATTTTGACAACCTACTAATATCCCTCCAAAACTTCCCATGCAAATCAACTGTGACAATTAAAGTTTGCATTCAACCTAATTTTTAGTCACTTTTTTTTTTTGGCCTAAACTCAGTGTTTGAATTGATCAATGTTGCTATCCAAACTCAATCTAAATGGTTGCAACCTTGTTGATGCTAAAATAATCTAACCCAACAAAAATACCAACACGGAGCAACCAAAAGCAACACAGGAGACCATATCCCATGTCTTTAGGCAAATCTGATTGCAATTTTTATATCCCAAAATTTTTTTTTACACAATTGGCATAATAACGTAACATTCCTCAATCCATGTTCCCTTTTTAGCTATCACTTTTATTTTCTTGTCACCACCATCCTTTTCACCTTCATTTAGTTTGACAACAAATCTGATTGAGCAACTTATCATTTATCAATTTCAATTCAATAACATTTACAAAAAAAGGAAAACAAAAAAGGGAAAAAGGATCTATTTCCATAATAATGGGGATTCGAGATGTATTAGATGGTTATGTAGATGGCAATTACGGAAAAATAGTGGAGTATGAGGTGTAGGAGAATGAAGGTAGGAGAGAGAGTTGAAGAGAGAATAAGAGTTTATTTTGTGTGATAACTGTTGCTTTATAATGAAAGACTAGTTGTACTGGTAAGAGTATTTTTTTTTTTTGTAAGAATTATTTATAAGTGAAAGATATTATAGTCATTTTACTATATGAAGGGAGGTTAGTGTAATTATTCAAACCTGAAGGGAGGTGATTGCAATTGTTAGAAACCTCAGGGGAGGTTTCTATAATTATCCCAAAAAATTATGGCTGGCATTCATTTCAAGGCAAAGATATTTAAAGCCAAAGGCAACCCATGGGCATAGGTCCAATTCTCAGCCGCGTATCATCGGACAAGAATTTTTCCCAGGAAACCTTCTCCCGAAACCACATGGCAACTGTCTTCTCTACTGCTTCCATCTCTTCCAAGCTCTACACTCATCATCACCATGTTAGTTTCCCCGATGCATACAGGTCCTTTGATTGCCAAAAGACGTACAAATTGCAATGTAATTTGAAGAACACAAGCAACACTTCATCCTCTTCCTCTAGTCAAGAATCCGAACCTGAAAATTTGCTGCTGAAGATGGCATGGTACGGCTCTGAACTCCTAGGCATTGCTGCTTCTTTTGTACGTCCTCCAAAAAATGTTGAAGCCCCGCAAGGAACATCAGAGCTAGCTCTTGATAGGTCCGGAATAACTGATCGCAACTCAATTGTGGAAGCTATTAAAGATGATTTTCAGAGATCCTACTTTGTTACAGGTTCAATTCTGAATCCAACTTGTCAAGTACCAGTGTGTTTATTTACTTATTTATCTATTTCACATTCTTCAAATCACGCCACTCAGCGCTGGTATTTTCAGTTTGATTCCCGATTACGTGCTTCAACCGTTTCAAAGACTTGTTTGTATTCATGAAATTAGAGTTTGAATTTTGTTCAGTTGGTAAATAAAAGTTATACTAGACACTAGAGACATTAGTTGAGCAAATTAATCATTAAGATGGTACCTGACATGTATGTTTTCTGTGGATTTGGCCATCAAGATTTTGTTTTGAGCTGAAAGATCCCCTCAAAAGCTCTAATCTTTGTAAGTTTTCTCGAAAATCCTCATTTTCACATTGACATGAATACAACGGACCATTTTCTAATAGAACAATAACTTGGGGATGAAGAAGTTAGCCAAAGTGAATACTAGGTATTTGCTTAAATGAAGGGATGGCATTATGTGATCCCACTCTTGCTCATAATTGGTAAAGAACCACGTTAATTTCTCAAGGAAGGGAATTGTAGCATGCTCAATCAATAAATACACATAAAAGCTCAATTTCATAACTGCTTGTTCTTCGTGTTTGTGCTCAGGAAACCTGACACTTGATGCGTATGAAGAAGACTGTGAATTTGCAGATCCAGCAGGTTCTTTCAAAGGCTTGCGACGGTTCAAAAGGAATTGTACGACTTTTGGTTCCCTTCTTGCGCAGTCGAACATGAAACTTATGAAGTGGGAGGACTTTGAGGTCAGCTAAGCATCTGAAGAAGTTAAATGGGCGAGTGTGCACAAGTTATCTACGCTGGAGGGTTACAAACTGTTCATATGGAATTCTTTTGGGTGCAGGAAAAAGGCATCGGACACTGGCGTTTCAGCTGCATTATGTCATTTCCATGGAAGCCAATTCTTTCAGGTATCTTAAGGTGCTTATGTGACACTGCAAATATGACTTATTTTCTGCAAGTTTATTCAAGCTGAAAGTTCTAGTAACAAGGACATCGTTATACGCTTAGGAGCACATTTGCAGTTGGTTTTACATGTTTTTACGCTGGTTGTGTTGCAGCAACTGGTTACACGGAATATTATTTCAGCAAGGAATCTGGAAAAGTATGCCGGTATGTATTACTTCTGGGCACAGTTTCTTGATATTTAGCTTGATCATCTGCTAACCTATCTGGTGGTAACTTGCAGGCATGTCGAGCACTGGAATGTTCCAAAAATGGCTTTACTGAAGCAAATTCTGAGGCCTAGCAGAGGGTTTGGCAGAAAAACGAAGGTAGTTAAGATAATGTTGGGTGTAGGTAATGAACAAAATCAATAGAATAGTTCGAGAAATGTATTATAATGGCAACCAAAATGAACAGACTTCGGGTTCTAGAAAAGCATAATTTGAAAACTTTACCTCATCAAAGAGCCAGGGGAAGCGAGTTTGGTTGGTCAACGCTCCAAGAAATGTATATAGTTCTCGAAGACTTGGTCTGCTTAACGGACACCATGAAGACTTGATTACTGATTAGGCTATAAATGATCAGATTTATCATCAATATGGGCTGGTTTGGATGGCACAAAAGTTGTTATAAGAACAAATCCTATTTTTAATTCTGCTTATTTATCATCAATATAGGCTGGTTTGTATTCCGGGCTTGGACCACATGCTCACATTTACCAGTTGATCATCTAACAAACTTTAATTGGTGCTGAGAAGCTCAGTTTCTGCTTCTCGAAGGGGAAAAACTCTTCCTGCTGTGTGTTATACCAATTAGATTTTAGGATAAATTACCTTTTATCCTCTTGTAGTTTGGTGTTTTATCATACAATTCTCTTATGGTTTAAAAACCTACATATGACTCTCTCATGGTTTGAATTAACGTGTTATCGTTAGTTTTTCCGTTACAACTAACGATCAATAGTAAAAAGTCAAAATCAAACTAATAAATCGATAAATTTACCCCTTTGTTACTTCTTTTTTTCCTCCAAACATAAAAAAAGAAGAAATTGAAATAAAAATAGATAAATAGGAAAAGATTAATCTTTCTTACACTGACAGTGTGCATACTGTCTGTTCTGGATGGATGACAATTTTGCAAATTTTGAATTTAAAATTCAATTTTTGCACATGTGTCATAAATTCAACAGTAATAGTGTATATAAGATTTATTCAATACGAAATAGAAAATACCATTAAAGATTTGGTTTAAAAACTTATAGTGATATTTGTAGTAAAAAAGATTTGGTATTTATTGTTTCTTTTTTATTTGTTTTATATTTCCCTTTCATATTTTTTGTTTCTTATTTATTTTTTTATTTCCCTTCCATCTCTTTTGTATTCAGAGAAAATTAAGATTTTGTAGGTCAATGTATAAGTTTTCAAAATCATCTCTTCTTTTCCCAAAAAAAAAAAGAGAGAAAGAAAAGGACAAAAAAAAAAGAAAAAAATGCAGTGAAATGGTGAATTTGTCAATTTATTAGTTTGACTTTAATTTTTTACTATTAATCGTTAGTTTTAACGAATAAATTGATGGTGACACTTTAACTCAAATCATGAGGGAACTATATGTAAGTTTTTTTAATCATAAGGAGTTGTGTAGTAAAGTATCTAACTAACTACATAGAAATAAAAGGTAATTTACCCTAGATTTTAATCCACACTAGAGCGACATCGGAGATAAACTTTGATTGATTGGACGGTTAGGAGAGTATCTAACTTAGGACCCTGTGGAGTTTGGAAAATCCCAAGTCGGGATTCATTGCAAACAGAAACTTATTCACTTCAGGGGCCTCCTAATGTGTAGAAAGAACTGAATTAAAAAACATAATAGCAACATATTTTTCCCCAAATTGATATGCTTTAATGGCCAAAAAAAAAGGTTTACTCACCCACCTAAATACCGAAACTGGATCTGGAAGTTGATTTCAACTTTTGCAAACATGAAAAGCATACCAATCTAGCAGAAATACATATTTGGGCCTTGTGTTGACTAGGAAAAGAACTATGTAAACTTGGACAAATTTTGGAGAAGGATTTATCATATACAACCCAAAACTTACAAAAATTCATTTTTCATCCCTTTTTTTTTTTTTTTTTTTTTTTTTTTTTTTTACACTTGGGAAGGATCTTGTCTCGAGCCATTAATGTGAAACATTATGCACTTGCATGCCGACGTATCGAGTGTTGGGATCACCACCACAGCAAGTGAAAATAATAGTAATAAAGTTGTTTAGTTCATATCCTGCTATACATTTCAATGATTTCGTCTTCTACACATTCACCAACATCAATTATCATGGTATCTTTCTTTTCTGAAGCCAAAAGTCTGCAGCAATTTCTTCTAGGAGACTGCTCAAAAATGGAAAAAAAAAAAAAAAAAAAACTAATGAGAACTTGATAGGTTAACACCAGCGTAGAGTTGTGATTTAGCATGCATTATAATAAAACTAAAACCAAGGGAATAATGCATACATACCTTATCCCAAAGGAACGGATTAGGCTTCTGATAAACTTCCACCTTACGAATTTGTGAAGGATTAGCCATCTTCCATTCACACTGATGACCTGATTTTTTGTAGTAGACATATTGGCTAACAGTTTGATTGGTCAAAGGATTGTAATGAGCCGCAGACAATGTATACACCGCGGGTCTCTGGCAAGAATTTTTGTTGAGAGATCGAGTGTTGAAGGTGAATCCAGTTTCATCGGCCCTTTTGTACCAGTTGACAAAGCTTCTTGCTGGCAATTCCATCTCCCTCGGGGTGACGACACCCCGGATAATCTGGACAGCATAACCCCATGAGACCGAAATAGTCCAGTTTCTAGCATTGTCATAGCATATTGATTGCTGCGCTAGCGCTGCAGAGTCCAGTTCCATCGGCACCTTCAATCTCTGCAGCGCTTCAACTTGGTTTACATTTGGGAAGATGGGCAGAATCAAGTCTAGATGGTGGAGAGAGACTAGGGGTGCAATTGGATGTGCTGCCAAGATGCCAAACACATTGCCAAACAAGTCGAACTGTTGCACAAAATGTATAGAGAGAGAGTTTTAAGTTAACCACAAAGAAGTACGTAAGAACGAACAGCAGTTGGTTGACCGCATCTACGGTCTAATCTTCTAGCTTGGTCTTTCAAAATCATAGAAAATCTGACGTTTTTTTTTAATCTAATTTTGGGTTGCCAGCAAAAGGCAAACAGGATCAGGGGTTGTTCACCTGAATTTCAATTAAAGCTCCTATTTCATCATATGCATTAACTATAATATCTAATCAGCCCCGGCCCCTTTAGATAATCTAAATATAGTACTCAATATCCAACAGACAATATTATTGGAGCAAGTTCACTTAATCATACCGATGCATGATATGTGTATCTGAAATTTTGTGTTTAGTGTTTAGGCGCACCCAAGCCACCCACCTGGTTGGTTCATAGCAGAAATGATGACGAACTTGACCTGACCTGTATATCTACAAATTTCAAGATTTTTGCAAGTGTTTTTTTGACATTTCTTGACACCCTTAATTGCGTGCTGGTTTTTTCACCTATACATTATGATGAATTCTTGTGTTACACTTGCCCTACCAATTCATAACTTGTATACGGTACTTATCCTAGCTACCAATTCGTCCATGGATCGATCCCTCTACAATTTCAAAATCTTACCAACTTTCAATTTTAAATTAAGGAGATTAATTTCAACCATAAATCGTTTCCATCCATTGTGTTTGAAAATTGCACGGAAACTCAAATCCCTTATCTTATGATCCTGCGTTTTCTTGAAATTCTAAATTAACTGTAATGTATTAATTAACCTTAACTCATTAATTCATCTAACTCAGCAATAAATCGGACTTCACCTAAATTAATATGGTTGCTAAGAGACAATAACGATGAAATAAATGCCATACTAGGATAAACGTAAAAAGTCGAGAACAAAATTGATCTGTAACAACCATTCTGGACTAGGCTAGCTAGTCCGACGAAGATTGAAAAAAAAAAAAAAACAATGGTTGTAGCCACAAAATTAATCTAATGGAAACAAAGCACAAAAGAAAAAAAATGTACAACTAATCAAACAGGCAGAAAAACTTCTTGAAAGTTGAAGGGGAAAAAAAAAACCTGGTGAAATCCAAGCTCCTTGGTCAGGGGGACTCCAAGTTCAGCCAAACAAGCATGGACTCTATCATCTGAACCGTACAATTCCGGGTACCTTTGTATGCAATTGTCCTGAATTTTTTCCAGAGCTTTGGCCAGGGGATAGCTTATGGCAAAACCTCCACCACCATAAGCCATGTTGTACGAAAATCTAATGTTCTGCAAATGGCTCTCTGAATTGCTACCAATATAATAGAACTGATTATGATCATACTTGGATAAAACTCTAACAAGATTATCAGCAACAAAGAATGTATCGTCATCCCCCATCACAATCCACCTAACATCCTCCAATCCCAGCCTTAATGTTTCAGATACAATCCGGGTTAAACGTAATGCTGATCGATCACCTTCCGTATTCTTGTACCTGAATTTGGTGGTGTCGCTCGACAATTTTAAGGTTGGAAGAGAATTGTCATCCTCAGTACCTGTACTTACGGTCTTGTCGAGCCAAACAAACCCTCTCGTCTCCCCCGGCCTCCACCATAATTTTACGTAGTTCTTTCGTTGACTCCATAGATGGGATGAAGCTGCAATGCCGAAAACAATGTGATGGAGCTGCGTTTTTCCAGGGTTTTCTGACTCTTGTACTCCTCTGATGTTCGACTTGTTTTGACTAGAGTAAGATTGTGTCTGCAGAGACGATGACGATGATGATGATGATGAAGATTTTTCTAGATCATGGATGTGAAGAGGGGTCTCGATGTATATGGCCAAGGGGCACAATAACTTTATGTAGTAAATAACGCAGGTGATGAAGGAAACGAGAATCACGGACGCCATGAGTTTTGTCAGCCAACCAAGAATGGAACTTTGGTTCTTCATGGAGTGTAACAAAATCCTAGCAGATTCTACATCTTTCATGGTTTTGGGATTTTCAGGATCTTCGTTATGTACAGAACTATAGAAATAAAATCTAAGGGATCATGACAAATTCTTCTAATGAACAAATTCAGATGTTGATTGTTTGATATGATGAAATCCAAGGAATAGTAGTATATCCAAACCTTCCTTCTTCAGTGGTGGAATGCGAGGAGAAAGAAGAGGAGGAGATGTTGCTCTTGAAAGGTTTCTTTAGTCAAGGAGTCTCACTCATTTGGGTTGGGTGTTCTAGCATTTATAGGTCTCTCGGACGGATCAAAAAATTTCAAATTCTGTTCCACAGCCACAGCCACAGGCCCCCCCCCCCCCCCCTTTTTTTTTTTTTTTTTGGAGGAAACAGGACATATATATATATATATATATATATATATATATTATTTTAGTATGTTATTAGCAGTAGTACTCTTGAATGGGTTTTTAATTGAACCTATGTATTAGCACCAAATATGGGTTAGTGGTTCAAAGCCCAATGGCAACGTTTAATAGGTTCACGAATAGAGAGGTTACCAGAATCCATTAGTTGTACTTAATTCGATTCTGGGAGGCAACTGTACAGCTTGCGTTTGGATTAATTGAACCTTTGCATATCACAAGTATTTAGTACCTTTTTAATATTTTCTATTCTTTTTGGGTCAAGAAAGGAAATGCAAATATCTTTGATAGATTGTGTACTAGAAATTGAATAAAAAAAGTACGCATTTATTGAGGTTGAGAATCTATATATATATATATATATATATATATAATGAATATATATATAAGGTGGAAATTAATAAATTGATTGAAAGATTTATATATATATATATATAAAAGAAGCAGCTTGATTCAAACTCTTCCTTTGAATTTCGTCCGCCACTTTTGGGATAAAATGTAATTTGAGATGAGATTTTGACGCTTTTCTAGCATATGGTACAAGTGCTAGATGATGGTTTTTTAAGAAATTTTAAAATTTTTATTTATCTTGGTTTTCTTCTTCTCTGATTCCACCCACTTTTGGATGGAAAGTAGACTGACCAAAATTAATTAAACTTTATCATTCCCTTTCCCTGCTCAAAAACCAGTCTAAATATTAAAATTCTTTTCCCTCCATTTCCTTTGCTTTCCTTTCCTTCCTTCGCCCTCAAAACAAAAAAAATGCCCAAGAGTTTGATTCGAATTCAAACTTAAATAATAGCAAGGAACTCGAGCAATAATAAGAATTGGATTAAAATATTGAATCGAGTTCAAATTTACAAAAATTTGACTTGTTAAAACTTGATAACAATTGACTATTTTTTTTGTTAACCATTTATGAAGATCACATATGCATTATTAACAATATAGTTATATATATATAAAAAAAAAAAAGAGCTCAAACCGATCAAATACAATATCAAATCAAAATCAAACACAAATTTTAAGGTGTTGAAAGGATTCGAGCTCAAATTCAAGTTGGAGGTAGAAATTCAAAATTGAGCACCAACAAATTAGAACATCGATTTGTTTTGATTGGCTTCAAGTTAAAGTCTATTTCAAGAAGTTAAAAAGAACAAAAATCTGAACGCAATGCACCTTTTGCCGTGCCATATTCATGTCTAACTTTTCATTTTGCATTTTGCACTAGAATAGCTGTATCAACGGGACTTGATAGCCGAGTCGGAGTAACACAGCATCTGCACATACCTGGCAACTCCAAGAATTGCGGAGAAGATAGAAAAAAGTTCCCTCCGCAGACAATGAGCAGAGATCATATTCATGTAGTGTTGCTGCCTTGGTCAGCATTTGGGCATCTTATGCCTTTTTTCAAGCTTTCTATAGCCTTAGCCAAAGCTGGAGTTCATTCTTCACTCATTTCGACCCCAAAAAACATTCAAAGGCTCCGCAAACTTCCTCCTGATGTTACAGGCCTCATAGACCTGGTGGCATTTCCCCTGCCAGCCGTTGACAGGAGTTTGTTGCCTGAAGATGCCGAACCCACAGTAGACGTATATTTTGAGAAAATTCAGTATCTAAAACTAGCATATGATCTCCTCAAAAACCCATTCAGGCAATTCGTTGCACATCAATGACCTGACTGGATCATCTCAGATTTGATCTCCCCCTGGGTGGATGCATGGTTCGCCATCACGGGTCGCGGTCGCGGTCGAGGCATCGGTTGTTCCACATCCGTCGCGACATATCGGTTGAATATTGGGTGATACGCACATTATAACTCATAAAAGTTTCAAAAAATTTTGAAAAAATTACTAAAATTAGAAAATACTAAAAAAGATATGCCGCATACATGAATCCGCAACTTGCCCCTACTTCCGCGCAAGCAGCTCAATTATTGTACTTGCATTCCCAGAGCTATTTAGTACTTTTGCTCCCGCTGTTAAAACCTACACTTCTCTAATTATTGGATGATACACTTGACTTTTCTTCTCTACTGGTTGCAGGTTTTAAATAATCACCTGTACATATAATACATCTATCTGCTGCTGAATGTACAAGCATCACTACAGAAACTTTGTGCTGTTCAAATCCATTAACAAATAGAAGCGCAAGCCATCAAATCCCAAATGATCATCCATTTTCTTAGCAGGTAAATGTGCTGTTTATCCATAGACCAATTAAGAACGGCATGAGAAAGGATTAGGAAATTTCTGACTCTGCTCAATGTAGAGCTACCTATTGTTTTAAGTAACAGAACCGTGACAGAGAGATGAAATGCAACCACACAAAAAAACAGAAGGAAAAGGATGACCTTGTGATTTGGTTCGACTCTCAATCTCATCTCCTTTTCCTGTTTCTCCTTGTAAGGTTTGCAATTGGCCCTTGAACCAAAAAAGAAATGCAACCATAGTAGCAGCATCCAATTGAACCAACTACAGCCCACTAATTAGGTGGTGTCTTATTTCCTCATCCTAGTACGAAATGACTAATACCTTACTGTTCTGAAGAAAGAAAAAAGAATCAGTTACTAGTAAAGAATGTGGACCAATTGAAGGAAAGAAAGTAGCCCCATACAGCCACAGACAGCTCACTTGTACACCATGTAAACTGTAGGTGTCCTTGTCATGCTCCAAAGGCAGTGCACATTGTCCAATTGTCCAGCCAAGACATTGAAAGTGAGATTGAAAAAAGAAAAAAGGAAAGAAAAATCCCATGACCCCATTTCCACTCTGGAATATGCTTTGCTTGCCTGACTTCTCCTACGCCAACCAGGGCATACAATACATAAATTGAGAAAGACACGGGGGGGTTGCAGTGAATTGGCTTGAACCAAATTCGCTGGCCAAAGGCTCCACCACCCCATAATAAACCGATATTTGGAGTCTGGGAGTCTTATTTCTGTACATTTCGTACCCTCCCATATAGTTGCTCTGTCTCAGTGGGGCACTGATGCATACCTATGATCACGGCGCTTGCTCTGAAGACGCAGTCAATTCATGTCTTCACCGACGAGTGTTGGAACAAAGTCTTCCAATGGCTTGACGAGCAAAGTCACAAATCAGTGGTTTTTGTTGGATTTGGGAGCGAGTGCAAGCTGAGCAATGATCAAATCCATGAGATAGCATATGGGCTGGAACTCTCGGGGCTATCTTTCGTCTGGGCACTGCAAAAACCGAGCTGGGCGGGGAATGAAACTGATGTTCTGCTTCGGGTTACAGCTCCAGGCTTTCTAGAAAAGGGGTTGTGCACATTGGGTGGGCACCTCAGAGGGAGATTTTAGCGCACCCTTCAATTGGAGGCAGTTTGTTTCACGCCGAGTGGGGTTCCGTGATTGAGAGCTTGCAATATGGGCACTGTCTTGTGGTGTTGCCATTGATCCTTGATCAAGGCCTGAATGCAAGGTTGGTGGTTGAGCAGGACCTGGCCGTCGAAGTGGAGAGAGGTGAGGATGGATCTTTTAGCAAAAATGATGTAGCTGAGTCGTTGACACGAGCTATGGTACCAAATGATGGTGGAGGTGGAGGGGAAGCAGCTGCCCTCAGATCTCGTGCTGCTGAAGCTGCTGCTTTGTTTGGAGATCAAAAGCTTAATGACTACTACATTGAACGATTTGTGGAGTGCTTGAAGAATAATGGGATTCAAAAGTAGATGCCAGTTTGCAACTGCTGGAGAAGATAAGAACATGCTGGATTATGTATCGACCTTAGAATCAATTAGTCGTATCCTTAATTTTGAACCATTGGGCTCTAGTCGAGTGGCTAAGAGCTCTCTGTGCATTAAATCAAGGGTTTAAACCCCCTAGTGCATTATAGGTAATCTTTGTGCTTCATTTCTTAAAAAATAGTAATGCACTTGTTTAGTTTAAAGATTCACTCTTGAACTCCCTACAAGTTTAGGTGGATTCCCCCTCTCCTATAGTCAGTTGACATCCTCTTGTGTCACTACTTGGTGTCAAATTCAGTGTCAGTCCCATTTATCACACGAAGATAAAGAAAATTTAAATAAATAGCACATAACAATTTAAATAATAAAATACTTGACATAAATATAAAAATAGGCACTGAATTGTCACTGATAAGTGGTACTAAGGATCCATGTGCTCCCATATTAATAATGCACAAGAGGAGTTTAAATATAGAAGTTGACACTGAGTTGCCAATGCCATAGTATAGTAGTGTAGATTCCCCCTTCTCCCATAGTATAGAAGCAGTCTAGATTGTTAATGTTAGACCCAAAAAAAAAAAAAAAAAAAGGTAAAGCTATTCACTTTGAGATCATGCCACCAAGATTTTGGGAACATCTTTGAATGTCCTTAAAGTATTAAGAGTTTTCAATTACATCCTTGTAAAAATTAGAGTTTCCTACCCCAAGTTTTTAAAGAAAAATCTAAAGATATCCCTTCACGCGTACATCGATCATAGTCTTGTCCCCCAACTCTCAATCTGTGATTCCGCCAGTGCATTTTTGTAACTTCCATGCCCTTTAAGCGTCATCAATTGGTTGATATTGACTATGCTCCAGAACAATTTCTTTAAAAAAAAAAAAAAAAAAAAACTTAAGCACCAATCAACGATTTACAAACTTCAGTACAAAAATTGCATGCTGGGAAGGAGCATCTGCAATAGTTTGTATCAACGAAAAACGTGTTGATAATGTAAATTTTCTTCTCAAGCAGAAATGGCACCATAGCGCCGTTGTTCCTAAAAGCACAGATTTTTATCGTACCCTACCCTTCGGAATCCAGTGTAAACAAACTTCTATACAATGAGTCGAACATGCAGCAAACTAAAACTGTAATGGCCTAAAATCAGTGGTAAGGTTTCTTTTTACAGCTAATTTGCTAGTAGCTAGTATCTTCCGCGTAATTACCAAGTGAAGCGCCATGTTGCTTGATTATCTTAACTGACTGAAGAAGAACTTCCTGCTGAGCCGCAAAGAAGTGTTCTTTACCCTACATTTGGAATAGCAATAACGGTTTTTATCAAATCAACAGTGAATAAAAGCATCGCATGAATCCGATTAACAAAGCTACATGAACTGAGATGTAAAGCTCTAAGATAAGACAATATGAAAGCGAGCATACCATCGCTTTTAGATTGCACCCAATAGTAAGTTCTGCAAATGATCTTTCTACCCTAGACAAGAAACAATATGGTGCTTCCTTTTCCAAGAACACATTCGAATTGGATCTGAGCATAATCTTTATATCTTCCGAAATCTTTGGAATCACATCAAAGTCACCAATTTGGACAGGGATTTTCGTTGTGACTTGCCATTGAGCACGCGATTTATTTACAATCACCTACTTAAAGCAACCATTAGTGAAGAAAATTCGCATGAAGTTGAACTTGAACTTGAACAAGACTAAATGAAACACAATAAAGAAAGTCATTTCTCATGCAATGCCAAGGTAAAATTAATTGAAGCTAACCTAAAAAAAAATATTAATTGAGGCTTGAATGAAGGAGGGATCATTGGCCAGCTAAGCATTTCATCACACACAGGCAATGAGAAACCACTCCAGAAACTGAGTTGAAGAGACTCTAGTTTCAGAGGTAATCCTGATTTAGAATAGTAGTAAAGAAAATACAGCCAGTTACAAAGAGAATGCAGTGCAACCTTTTAGGCAGCTAGGCAATTTCCCATGAGACAGTTACAGGAGCCCAATTAGGTGATGAGACTTGAAAAATGCAAGTTGAAATTTTTGAGAATCAAGAATTCAAAACGTTGACTGCCAGAAACACTTCAACAAAATCTACAGCATCCTAGCAGTAGCAGCAAAATTATGCGTAATTGTGTCCACAAAGAATTCTCCAACCAACACTTTCAAGTGAAAAAAAGCCTCAAAAACTCACAAGCATATAGTTGCAGAGCAACGATGAAAACCCAGAAAAGAAAAAGACCAAAATGCAGGTTTTGAAAATTCTAAAACAAATAAGACCCACCTGACTGGCAAAAAGAGAATTTGGGACTATCACAGGAAATTTTTCTGAAGTCAGCAATGATGTAGTTGTTAGACCCATATCTATCACCTGACCTTCCACGGAACCTGCCTGCAACAGTGGTAGCAGAAGGAAAATTATGCACAAGCTTCTAAAATACGATCAAAAGCCAACTTCTATCACAACGTTGACAAAACCAGTCAATCAAAATATAATTTTCAAGTTGTGCAGAGGAATGGAAAACCACTCCGCGACAGCAGGATCACCAGGGCAAAGAAGGAGGAACAAATAAGAAGGTAAAGATCTACTTGGATTTTGAGCAAAAAAGAAGCCCAAAGAAATTCTTAATGTGGTGTTTGTTATTGACTGAGATTTTAAACACAATCAAGGGTTGTCAACTATGTCATCTATTGTTTATGCCTATTGTTTATGCAGTAACAATGGCATAAAAATTACATGACCTTGAGCAAACATTCCTATGATTTGTAGCAAAAGAACTAAATTATGTCCGTGCACATTGATCTCAAACTGGGTTAAGATTAATTCTACATGATTTTCCAGAAGAGATTACCACTTTTACAGCAAAGGTTAAGGCTAGACACGCCATCCCATGACTTGAAAATGCCTAAGCACTCTGCTGGGACTGATGTTTCCACTTCTCTTCTTTAGTCAGGAACGTTGCACATAGAAGAAAGTATACCTATATCATATTTTCTCAAACATAATATTGTGACCCCAGATCTTAAAACAAAAAAAAAAACAAAGGAAAAGAAATTTTCCGACATCTTTGAGAGTCAGTTAACCACATATACCATAAGCACATAACAAATACTCCATCCCGTACTTTATTAAAAGAAACAAACTAGTTAAAATTGTTAATAGTGCTGAAACAGTAAAGACATGAGCCTGTCCAACAACTGCAAGAGGATCTTTATTCATTTCTATCCAAGCATAGGATACCATTCTCCAACAGACAATATCTAGAAGTGAAAATGAAACCAATCAAATTTAAGCTGGGTGTCTTAACTTGTTGGAGAGAGACGAAGAATTATCAACAGATGGCTAGATGAAACAATAGTTGGCTAAATGGATAGATAAGTACATAGGTTAAAAGCAACTAAACAGACAAATTAAAACACATCATACACATACAAGGAGAAAAAATCAGAACATGAGTACGAATAAACAATAGATTGGACATACTTTTATCGTATCTCCTATTGAAAAGGGTCGCGAGATCTGTACAGATAGCCCACTGAGGACATTCCCAAGGATGTCTCTACCAGCAAAAGCAGTAGCCACTCCTGCATGGCAAGTCAAAGCATGATGATATCAATTTTCAATGCTTCTTAAACCTAACCATAACTCTTGTTTAAAAATACAGAATGCAAGCATTTCTTCCCCTCCAATTGGGAAAAAAAAAACAATTAACCTCTAATAAGAATTTTCAAAATCAGGACAGCTGAATAAAAATAGTCACAAGTCTTAGTGCTGTTTTTTTGCAATAACCAATGCAAGCTCTTTGCCTTTCATTCTGCTTTTACTTTGATAAAAAAAATAATGACCATTTAATCCAACCATTGCATAACTTAGTGGACTACAAACTGTAGCTTCTACTACATTCGTAAACAGTTGTATAATAATCCCTATCAGACCTTCCCCTGATACCAAGTTCTTTCTTAGTGACTACAACCTGTAGCTTCCACTACATTCATAAGCAGTTGTACAATAATCCCTATCAGACCTTCCCCTGATACCAAGTTCTTGACCTTGAAATATCTTCTAGAAGGCCGGATGTATGATGCTAAGAGGTCCAACAGAAATTACAGTTGCTCAAATATTAAAAAAGATGGTTTTCAATAAAATACCAATAAGGGGACAGGTCGGTCCAATGACAGAAGCAGGAGGCTTAATCCAAGAACAACGCATTCAGAGCTGTTGTAGCTCGATAACTGAAAATAAGAAGTTTTTTCATGAAGTAATCCTAATTAGAACTAGAAAGTTAAAAACTAAGGCACAAATGGAATGGAAAAATGGACACCAAAGTCAAATGTCTACATTGTCTATAGTATATTCTTGGAGAGGTCAGGTGAAAAGGTGCTCTTATGTAAGAGAACTTTCTATTTTCAAGAAGTAGCCAACAAATGATATAGGAACACTAACAAACACTTGGCAGCTTCAACATCCCTTAAAAGCCAAAAGCTACAAAGGAATATCAGAAATCTAACCAACATAAAAAGGATGCATAGAATACTTCCTTGAAGATAACATGACTTGAATAAAATCGGAAAGTGAGCTCCCAAAAAAAAAAAAATCTACCTACATAAACCTTTATTGTTCAGCAAATTCTCAAACAAATTCCTGAATAGAGATATCAGAAGTAATTCCAAATAAACATGGACAAGATCAAACTATTTGGCTGGAATGACCATAGAATGCAAGTAAATGTAAGTCCTTATCAACGCTTAGAAAATCTGCATTTCCAGAAATTGACACTGAAGTGTCTACACTGACAAAAATCTGTTCACTACAGAAAAAACAGCAAAAACATTAGCTGTGCAAAACTCACCTCCTATGCCTCCTACAGTTAGAATAGACTGTACAGCCACTCCACATGCCTCAGATAAACCCATCAATCCAAGGACAAATAAACCAACAGAAGAGATTTTATCCAAGGTTAACAAATTGTCTCTGTCAACTCCACTCTTAGTAGCCAAAGCTCGAGTAATGACATTAGTCTTCCATCGATTCAGGAACCAGATAAATGAAAGAATAATTGCACCCCTCCAAGCTGGTGCAATGTATTGTGCTGCGATAGTTGTTGGTGCCACCATGACAGCACTGCATGCACAAATTAAACAAAAAAAAAATTACAGTAAAAAAAATTGTTAGGACCTCAATTACAAAAAACAGAGGTATGAAAGAGATACAACTACTTG